ACGGGTGTCAGTTTGTCTTGGTGGTCTCTGTCCCTCTCCCCAGCCCCCTACTTAGCCAGGCGCCCCTCCTTGAGCACAGATTGCGCGGAGCGCAGTTGATATGCGCGGCAATTCACAGCGACTGAGGGCGCAGTGCTGGAGGAATCCACCAAGCTCCGTATGCACGGGGATGGGGGGCGGGGGGTTGAGGCGAGGCGGGCTGGTCTTGGTGCTGCTGACAGTGTAGACAGGTGAGCAATGGCATCGCACAGGGCCCGTCTCCTCGGTCTTCCCCCAGCGTCGGAGACTCCTGCTGGGGGAACAGCCCCAGAGACAACGACCTGCCAAACGCCAAGCCGCTGGGGACTTCCGCGAGGCGGGAGGGGGGACACCTGCTCTCCCGGAGGGAATGTGGCATTAAACAAAACAATGCAATTAACTTGGGCCGGGGGGGACCCCTAAACCAGGCAAATAGCCTCCTGCCACTCCCCCCGTTGTGTTTCTTTACAGCGGGCCCAGGCCCAGACCCAACCCTCCACGCGCTGGGTCCCAAGTTACACCTTTGGGGGATGCCTCTGCCCCCCGTGCCTTCGCGTGTCTGTCTCTTCCTCCACGCACGTGTCTGGGGCCAGCTCGGAGCAAGCTCCCGTAGGGTTGGGAGTTGGCCTACGCAAGTCGGGCTGCGGTCCGCTGTGTCTTGATGATCGGAGACCCTGCGGCACAAAGTTAATCTGAACCTAGAAAACCAACCGGTGTGGCCGCTGCCTCCAGCGTGGCCCACAGCCCCGCGGATTACGCATCTCGCCTTCCAAACGGCAGCGACCTACAGCCCGGTTGGACCGCGGACATTACTTGCCATGCAGCAGAGCGAGCAGCAGATGGCGCTATGCGAGGGCTCTTCTGTAACCGCTGGAAATGCAATTTTTCTGCTAGGTTTTTAGACCAGCAATTTAATTTATTTTTAAAATTAAGGGGGAATATTAGGAGAATCCTTTTAAAATGTCTTTACACAGATGGGGGAGGGGGATAGATAAACGAGAAACTTCAGCTTTTTTTTTTTTACATTCACACAATCCTACTGATATACATTGCATAGATCCCTATATCAACACCTTTATATGCATGGTTATATATACACACTATATATAAACGTAATGAAACTTACATGCACATATCTATAAATACAGAATTACTCGTTTATTTATATATATAAAATTAATTTTAGAATGGCCATGTTAGAGATACATAAATACCTAGAAACTTTCTGCATAACTAAACTGCATTCGTAACTATTTTTGGTTCTTAAAATCTAAACTCTTTTAAAATAACACCCCACATCCTCTTACTAGAACTGTATTACAGCAAGAGCTGTATTCTCAACTTAACAAAAATAATAGACACAGAAGCACGAATTTTATTTTAAAAAAACTAACCCCTGTGCATTTCAATACTGTTGTATATAAACGATGAAAGAAGCCACCAAAATGGTGGTGGTTTCAAAATATTTAAATAAAGTCTGTAACCTCTTTAAATCGCAGCACGACTTTGAACCTGCTGCATAATGATAAAGAATTGACGTTAAACACCAACAAGAAAGGAAGAACAAAATTCTTTCGGCTGCCATTTGAAAAAGAGAGTTTATTAGCGTTATTGCAACGATTAATCCAGGAACCAGGAGAGAAGCGGAACTCTTTATTCCAACACATTTTGCCACTGTTCTTAGATTTGAAACATGATGCGCTTAACCACAGAAACGGGCATTAAAGTGCTTTGGACATACGTATTTCCCTTCCTCCCCAGTTGGAAGTCGAGGGATGTGTGTGTTACATATATAGCATACAAGCGACGCTTTTCGGACACGAAGTCCAGGCTGAGGGCTTTGCCTCTAAGATAGAGCTAAATCTTTCTCCTCTTATTAAATGCAAACCTTGGTTCAAGCGACATTGAGCAAGGGACAGCACAGCTTCCCTGAACCTTTGGCGGGTTTCTGTCTTACTCATAGCTCGTGCAATTCCCCTTCTGTGCCCCCTCGGATCCATTCATTGCAAACGTCTAGAGCGAGGCAAAGTTACCACCGTGGGGGTTGCAAGGACATCTTAACCCCCCTCCCCCCAATAATAGCCACCCTACCGCATTGTCTTCCCGGCTCTCCCTGCATTGTCCTGCCCTTTCCCTTTGTGAGCCAGGAGCCCCTAAACCTCTGCATATTCAGAAGGGGCCTGCTTCGCCCCCCTGCCACTCTTAATGTATAGAGACAGCTGCCCTGCAAGACGTTGGAGCCATTGTTGCTCCTATTTGTCAAAAGGCCGAGGATGCTCCATAGATCGCTCCGTGGCTGCTGTTAAGTGTAATTAGAGGGTTTATGTCCCCAATTTCCATTAAAATGAAGCTGTGAGGCTCCTCTCTTGGCATTCACCGCGTGCCTTAATTGTATGGACATTAAATCAAGGTCCGCTGTGAACACGCAGAGAGGGGCTCGTCGGCAGCAGGGCAGGGAGAGAACAAGGCACCGGCGCGTCTTCCGCGGAGCTATGCTGTCCGTGGGGGCACCGCTCGTGTGCCCCCCCCTCTCTCGCCAACACGCGCCCAGGGCTTAGCCCGGGCCAGCCAAGGGCTGGGCTCCCCTGCGGAGCGGGAGAGAACAGGGGTTCTCTGAGCCTCCGAGAGGAGAGAGAACCCCCCACACCCACTCCTCAATCCGGTATAAAATCCTTGTCGTGTAAAAACAAACCCTAGGTAAGAACCTGCCCCCCCCCCCAGTCCAGTGTAAAATATCTCTGCGCTCTACCCGCTAGAATAAACCTCTACACAATAACAAACCCTATAGATCAGACGCCTATATCGTAAACCCATATACAAACCTATACAACAAACCCTATCCTATACACCGCCTACACGCGCAAAAAACTTTGCCATAAACCCCTATATAATACCCACATAAACGACTTGTATAATGCAAACCCTCTGTACAGTGTAACTTATATAACCGGCTATACCGTATTTAAAGGGATACGTTCTTAGCACATAACAGTCGCCCCAGAGCTGTTAGCCACCTTCTAATAGGAAGACAGACCTGAATTAAGCGTAACAGATCCCTCATGTCAAGGGATAGGTCAATTTCTCTAGAGTTACAGGTCTAGTCAAAGTGCTGGGCATCTTTTTTTCCTCTCTTCTACTTTTTTTTATAATAATAATAATTAATATAATCCTCGTTTCTTTTAAACCGCTCAAAATGCAAATTAACTGATTTCTCTTCTTTCAGAAGGGAAACCGAAATAGCGTAGAGGTGCCCTTGGCCATCCGCAGCGGCTAGGCACAAGAATAGCTCCACGGTTTGGATTTTGGGAGGGGGGGGGAGGTGTTTGTTTTTTTGCTTTTCTTTCTTTAAATAAGGATCGAACGAGAGTGACCATGATTAAAGCGATTGCGTTGCTGGCCATCGGAGTTAAAGGCACTTTATTAATTTAGGACGATTTCTTTCTATAGATCTTGCCGCTGAATTCCCCCACCCCACCCCCTCCTTGTCGTTCCCCCACTCCCCCCAAAAAAACCCTAATAATCATGATAAAGCCCATTAAGGACGCTTGCAAAAGAGGAAGGGGGGGGGGGAATCCTGACGCTCTTCCAAGTTAGCAATCGAGCTGGGATGTTCTCCCACCATTGTCGCCTAAACCCCATAATTACGGCACCGGCAAGACTAGCTCTTAGCAGATTTACCCATTCCAATGGAAGCAGCCCTCTGTGGCTAGGCGGCAGAAACTCCGCGTCCTTTCAGATCCAGTGCGGACGCCCTCCCGTGGTTCAGCATGCTTGTTTTGTGTATGCGGGCTAGAGATGAATAAGAAAAGCGCCTAGTCTCTCATTATCTTTTGAATTTTTAGACCTCTCTCTCTCTTCCTCCCCCTGGAACAATGAAGAAAGACCTCATCAGAGTGAAAATCAGGCTCCCGCTCGGCGTGGAAAAAGCCAGTTGAACTTGTATGGGTGCACCACGCATCTTTCCATTCTCCTGCTCTTCTCTTCTCCAAAGCTCTTTAAAGGGGTTATGAGGCGTCTCTCTCAATTTATCCCTTTTCTCTTGATCTTCCTAGCAGAGGGGTTTTTGGGTCTAGTCCTGGCTGTTTCAGCTGATCTCATCCAGTCTAAAGGATTAGCGCTTCTTCCCTCCGTCCAGGCTCTCAGCACATCTGCTGATTGGGTTCAGCACAAGAGGATTACATTGGGACCCAATGACGTCACCGCTAGGACATAAGTTCTCCTCCATTAACCAAATCCTCATCAGCAAGATGTCCTTGAAACTATAGGAGTAACATTCGAGAGACTCTATCCCCAGCCCATCCCCACCTTCCTCTCAGGCTGGGGGCTCGGGCTTTCGGAAAATAGTGTTTAATCTTTGAGCACTTGCAGCTGCGTCTATAATGTATGGCTGCACTACAGGGCTAGAGAATCTAGTCCTTATAGGAACACACAGACGTTATACATTGGGATCTGCACCTAAACGGTTAATCGGAGAAGCTTTATATTTTCTGTTGCGGTGTTTTATTTTAAACAGAGGCAGGAGGGGGAGGACTGTATATCCTTCAATTATATTCCCTACCTCAAAAAACATCAGCAATAATTTTCCTTAAAGTTGACATGGATGTAATTACCAAAAAAAAACCCCCAACAACAACAAAAAAACAGATTTGAGAAAATTGTAAAGGAATTCTTCCCTCCCCACTTCCAGGAAGAGAATGTGTTTCAAGTCACACTTTTAAAATAAAGGGGTTCCCTATTTACATGTGTTTTTGTTCCTTGTGATCAAGCTTCTTAAAGTTACATAATCACGGAAGCCACGGGAGCTAAGAATTGCTTCGTTTGGAAGGAAAGGAGTTCCTTCTAGAGCATTTCTAAATAATAAACCGAAAGAGTATTCTTGTTTTTAAAAGCCCACCGAGAGGGACAATGTAGCAATGCCATCAAATAGTCTTGATCTATTTCACGGAATACAATATGCTGGTTCTTCTTTAAACCATCCCCAGCAAATAGGGCTCTGCTTGTATTTATAGCTGGCGTTTCATTATATGGTTTTAACCGATTTATTTTATGGTTGGTTTGTTTGTTTTTTTTAAGTCGTGAATGAATGCATGATGCCTAGAGACCTCTTTCATCAGGCTGTGCTTGCCTACTCCCAGGGTCATGCCATTTTTTTAAGAGTCAGTGTCCTTTCGCTCAGGGGAGATTGTTTGTTTTTATTTTTATAGAATAATTCTATATATACAGATCAGAGATGAGTATTTTAGAACTGTTCTAACACATCCTATTATACTTTAGTCTTATCCTTAGAAAATATGGCGAACCACTTCTACATCTTTTTCCCCCCAGCCCCATGTAAGGATTTTTAGGTGGAAAGTGCAGATTTGTGGGTTATTTTCCGCTATAATAACCTTCTGTGGCTAGCAAAACGCTGCATTCTATTATTAGAATGATTTAAGACTATGATTTGATTTGATTCTAGTAGGACTTATATGGACACAGATATTTTACATGCTTATGTGGGAGTTGGACTCTGATTATGATGGAAATCATTTTTTGTTCCAGTTCTGAAAGTCTCCACTTTGCCATTCCTGCGTGTGCAGTTACATGATGGGTGTGTTAGTAGAACTGTAAACTATATACACATTTTGTTCCCACTAGATCAAACCAATTGTTCGGGGATTTTGTTGTTGTTTCTGATAGTTTGTTTCTATTAGATAGAGGGTCTCTGAAACGCAAACCCAGAGAGACAATTGAGGAAACAATCGGTTCAAGGCAGTTTAAAATAGAATCTCACGACAGAGTATCTACTAGAGGTATATAATAAAGTAGCCATCAGAAATGCTCCGCAGCGATGTGAAATATCGCCTTCAAGGCTTAAGGCCCATTGGACAAACACTCGCACACCTTAATTGTGTGTGTGTGTGTGTGTGTGTGACTTCCTTTCTTTTGTATTGTGCTACAGTGCATGGCATGTATAGAAGATAGGCGAAAATGCATTGTTTGTTACGCTGCAAGAGGAAAGTTTGCTATTTTAAGCATCATTTTACCATCTTCTGAAGCTACTTTTTTCATCTGGTTCATTTTAGATGATTGTTTATCGACTTATTTATGTCCACGAGAAGCTACATGAACGCGAATCTGTCCCTTGTGGATCTAAGTTAAAAATCTAAATTAACGTGAGCGAGGGAGCGCTTTTCTCCAGCATTGGACATCAACACGATGCCCATCTTCAGCCAAATTCAGAATTAATTTTCTTTTCACACCCAAATCCAGGATTTGCGTCCTTGAAGGGGGGAAATTATTATTATTATTTATTTATTATTAGTTTGCCTGATCTAGGCTTATTTCATTGGACAATATTAAAGCTCTCAGTCTTTGTGCATTGGGTTTCAACCAACAGCCTGGCTTTCAGCTAGAATGACATTTCTATTTAGCTAGACCTGTCCCTTTAGTTCCCAGTTGGCGTTCCAGAAATACCTGTCTCAGATGCCTACACCTTGCTGTGCTCTTAATACAGAGCAGCTAATGGCAGCGGAGTGAACAAAACAGGGAGATCTATTTCAATCTGGGAAACAATGATCATATTCTCAAACTCTCGGTCTTCCATGTTTGTTGTGCATTTCCCTTCACCTGGGTTTGAGGCCCCACATTTATTCCTTTCCCCTCCCTTGTCTCATGTTCGAAGAAGGCATTCGAGTACAGAGACCAGGTCCTGCTCTGCAGGGGAAAGGTGCTGAAAAGAAAGGTGAGCTACAGGCCTCTGGTTCCATTGCCGGCTAAGGGTTCGCTGTCCATGGTGTTGAATGAAATAGGGTTTCTCTCCCCCCACTCCCCACCTCCCCCCCCCCTTCACATCAGTCACCTCCCTAGTATTCAGAATCGGTGCCCCCTCTTCCTGCCCTCCCCTCCTATATTCCCCCTCCCCCCAGTGCCAGTTTGACTTAAAACGTATCATTTAACTCCAGGTGTATTTGAATAGTACAGTCAGGAATAATTAAGAGCAATTTTTTTTTCGTACTGAATAGAGATTTCTTTCCTTTCCTTCGAATCCTGATCAGCGAAATCGTGTACGTCCGGATTGACTTAAAAATAAACTTTCTTAAGAAGCGAAGTGACCATCCCTATATCTGCTCGGGTGGGGGGAGGGTCGGCCTGTCATCCATGCACAGACTGTGCTGTTTAATATTCGTGCTGCCTTTCTAAATGTTCCTAGCCACTCTGGAGTTGTAAGCCTGGTGGCCCCAGCATGGATGTGATATTTTTAACCTCCTACTAAGGCAAAGAGAGCTTCTGTTGTAACTGAGCAGTGTCAAGCTGCAGAGAGGAAAAACTTTCCTATTTAGCATGCTGGTGGCATGATTTTACTTCGCTTTTGGCCATACCAATGGTTTAGCCCCTCTTAAATTTGCTATTAAATCGACTCTCTCCCCCACCCCCTTTTTCCACCTTCTGTATGAAAGGCTTTAAAGATGTGTAGGGTTTGGGGCTATTTCAATAGCACCTCCATGTAGACATTTTGTTTTAAGAACATCTCTTCCCTAATCTCTCATGCAGCATTTCTGTGTTCCGGAAGAAAATAGTCAGATGACTTGCAAAGGGCCATTTTCTTTCTTTCTTTCTTTCCCTCTGTCTCTCTTTAAACATACCACCTACTGTTCCCCGAACAAAGAGATCCTAGAGACAAGAAACATGCTATCACTTTCCTTCCCTTTCCAGACCTTAACTCTGCAATGCATAGCTGACCATGTTAAACACATACCCCGAAATCCATAGTAGCCCTCTCGCAACATGCGATCACCCCTAAACCAGGCAGCAAAATGTGGATGTGTATATACACACACACACACACGCACACACACTGCAGTGAAATCAGGCGATGCAAGTGATCAGAGAAGCGCGTTGCTTTCAGAAAGTCTTCCTATTTCCCCCCCCCCCTTCTGCTGATTAAGTAACTAACAAGCATCTCTTTTGCCCTCGGAACTGGGCACAGGTATCGAATACAACGTTTCGACCCTCCACCCCCAGAATCCGTAGCTCGGAACCGACCCACAAGTCAAACAATAATATATTTTTAAACGAGGCCTTGCTCTGTTTCAAAAAGTAAAGGAAATCGAGGGGTGGATTATAGATCCCTGGCCTCTAGTTCAGGCACAAACAATCTAGCGGCATAGAAAAGAGATTTCAGTAGAGACTGGTCTTTTCCGTGGTTAATTTAAAAGAATAACTTAAAGCTTTCTTAGAAAGTAATTACACTTACAAGAGGTTTGGGATTCAGACTTCTCTACCCAGTGTGTCCTCTCTGTCTTTTTGGTCGTCTTGGTTGCTGAATTTTTTTTTTCCAGATCTGGAATAACAACAACAATAATACAAATATTAACCCGCCCCCTCGAAATATACAATTCACTGATTTGCAAAGCATCTTCCTTCGCGTAAGAAAACTGCTTACTCTCCTCCCGGTTGCTTTCCTGGCCTCACAGCTCCTTGAGAAAGGAGGAGGGCCTTGTGCATTACAATCGCCTTCAATTCAATTCATTCTGCCTGTTTCTAACGGTCTCTGGACAGCAAATCCACACCAACAGGGGGTCAAAGTCCCCTCCTCACCCCCCCCCCACAGTCTTAAACACACACAATAGCCGTCAGCTAACAGCACAGCAGCGACTTTGAAACATTCAAGCATCTGAAGTGAAGAATGCCAGAAGCTCGCCTTTCCCCCCCTCCCTCCCTTCCACTTGGTCCTTGATTTTACAAATTTAAAATATAATCATCATAAAAAAAACCCTCACTTTGATCCGCACGTTATTTCACGGACCCAGGCAGAAGTCTCATGTCAAGAATTTCCTCTTTAGGAAAAGATTAGTCCATCAGCTAGCTGGGTCCTTTTCCAATTACCTAATATTCTTTCTCCTTTCACCACGCTTCTGCACGGGAGCAAGTTTTGCTATAGATATTTATTTGGGATTCTCAATAAATAGAGTGCATTGTAGTTTGATTTCCCCCCCCCCTCCAGCCACATTGGCAAGGCACAACTAGCATCGTGAGCTGCTGATTGGATTTCGGGGTTATTGTTTTTATAAAATGTAGATAAAATATTGCACTTCTGTATCTCAGGCTTTGAATGAAAAACAATGTTTAGACATTTTCAAGAACTCTCGAGTCACTCACGCTCAATCACCCTGGAAGAAAGTTACATGCACGGATTTGGAAAGGAATTAAAATTGTGTTTAGCATGCAAAAAGGTCCAATTAATACCTGGGAAATCGTGGGGGATTTTAGCGGTTATATCACAGGTTTAGAGATTAGATTTTTTTTGTTTGGTTGGTTGTTTATAGCCTAGGATAGAACCGCTTCTTCCGTTGTTCAACATAGTGCCTTAGGATTTCCTATTCAACTCTGCTAGCATACCCTGTACAACCCCACACTTTGCTTATGCCAGTCACTAGTCCAGAAATAGTTTCTTTTTGCCCTATAATATCGTTGGCATCTGTATCTTCAGTAGGAAGGCTTGCTAAATTGCCTTTAAACGTTAGTTTCATATTTGAGGCTTTTAAAAATGACTTTCTGCCGCCTCTTTCTGAAACACCCATTGTTATCCAGTTCTAGAAACTGATTTTTTTAAAAAAAGGTGACCCTTGAAACTGCTAAATAGAAACTGTATCTGCCGTATTCAGACGAAAACATTTGACGCATAGGCAGATACTAACACAAGAGAGAGATGCCGGTCTGTAAGATTCAAATGCATAATTCAAATGCATGGTTCTTCAAAGTATCCTATTCCATTTATTGAGACAGCCCGGTATGTCCAGTCAATTGACTGGTCTGATACCACCTGGGTGGCATGTGATCTTTGGAGGCCACCATCTTTCCTTTTGAAACAGTGGCCGAGTCCAGTTGTGCCGCAGACAGGCATTAATGAAACAACCGCTAGGAAAGAAAGTTAGGTCCATGAAACCATTTGTAAATAATGCCATAATTCCCCCTTAGATCTCTTTCTGCAGCAAGAATGTCTCTTATTGAAACCCAGGGACACACTCGTAGGTAGTCTAATTGGGTAAAGCGCCTCATTGAGATCCCAAAATAAAGGGGAAGAAGAGAGAGACCAGCAGTCCTTGCTCGGGCAAATGTCCCATTGAGGCCAACTATACAATACCAGTAATGAAAGCCATGAATTTGCATACAAATGGGAACTGATCACTGGCCCCCGTTCAGTTTCCCGTTGTAAAGAGAAGGGGATCTGGATACCAAATACAAGCCCGACACGTCGCTGGTGATGGGAAGAGAGTGTGGTCCACAGATGTATTGTTCTTTTATGGCATAATATCTGGAAGGACCAGGGTGTGACTTCAGAGCCGTGACAAAGCTATTGGGGAAGTGGTGTTAGCGCAAATCTTCAATGCGTGTTTTCATGCGTAAGAGTGAAGAGTGTCGCAGTAAACAAAGAACCCGGCCCCCTTCCTTTGGAAATGTATTTCCACTGGGTTTTCCTAACCGTAAGCAGAGATCATCATCCATCCATGCCAGGCTCTGTTGACACCACCCAGAGCGGTATTGGTAGGCGTGGCTGCCACGTGAAGCAGAAGGTCGTGATTTAGTAGGAAGGAAAATGTGTGGATCTCTTCTTAGAAAACACGCGTGGCTCTTCCACGCCGCACAAGCATTGCAGGCTGTCCTGTCTCAGACCAATGGCATTCTTGTCCAGCGAGGCGAACAATAGACCAAAAACCTAAATAACAACAGGAGGGACCTAGTGGGCCTCTTGGAAGACTGCACAGTTCTTGGAGGCATGCTGCTGGTTTCCAGGGTTCTTGGTTCGTAGACACGTGCCTCCCGAAATAAGGCGCCAAGGGAATTGTGACAGGCCAACAGCCTAACCTCTGCCTTGCTGTAACAGGGCTGGATACCTGCAAAGGGGGGGGGGAGCTTTAGGGGTGTGTCTCACAAACACCCCCGCTTCTTTCAATGGAAGGAGGCCCTGGCCCCATCTTTTCCTTTTGCAAAGCGCAGCATCTTGCGGCCTGCGCGTCGGGGTTTTGTGCAGCCTTGTCACGTGCCTGCCGGGCTTTGTCCTGCCTCTAGCTGGGTCTGTCTGTGCGTACCCTGGACCTCATCACTCCGCTTTGTCTTGCAGCTGCCTTGTACCTGAGTTCTAGTCTGTTCAAGAAAAGTCCCCCGCCAAAGCATGTTCCCTTCTGTAATTCCCCTGGTATTACAAACACAGAGCAATGCCCATCGACCTGCTCTCCTGCCCCTCGCCTCCCCTCCCCAAATGTGTAAGGTGAGGCTGACCACGTGGCAAGGGTGAATAAGAAGCCAGGGTGGAATGCCCTGCCCCCTCCCCGGACCCGATCCTGAATCCGCTGGACACCAGGGGCGCTGGCCCATTGCTCCAGCAGGAGGAGGAGCGAGCATGGACCCAGGGGCGCTGGCCCATTGCTCCAGCGGAAGGAGGAGCGAGCATGGACCCAGAGCGCAGGCCGGGCTCCGGCTGCTTGCTGGTCGCGGTGGGGAGTGCTGGCCTTTTGTTCCTCGGGATTTTGGAAGGAGCTTTATTCTTACTGCCCAGCAGGCTCGACCTGCCCCTGCCTCGCATCGGGGAGAGCTCCCCCCCGCCATGGCGCTTCGGGAGAGGCGCAGTGTCAGCACGGATCACCCCGGGGCCTGCGGGCTGGAGAGGGGGCTGTCCCCACATTGTTCTCCTGCTTCTGAGACAGGACCCTGAACCAGCCTCACGAGGAGACGGGGTGGCTCGTGGGGGCTCCCACTGCACTAGCAACCCGGGGGTGGGGGCTGTCCGCCTTGGTGGACCTTTCAGGTGGCCCAGGTTGGAGAAGAGGGACTGAAAGGGCCTAGCCTGGTCCTGGGGCGGGGGTGTCTTTCTCTCTCCTCCTTGGAGCTGTGCCCTGCTCTTCAGGGTGCTAGTGTGTGGGGGAGTCCCGCTTCGCTGTCCTCGCGCCGCGGCACAGGCCACCCATTTGTACAGCTCCTAGCACCACGGGGGCCCGTGAGTGCTGGTAATATAAATAACAATGGGGGGCCCCAGGAGTGACTCCAGGGCTTTAAATCTTCCGGGGGGAGGGGCAACCCGCGAGGCAGCCCATTGCTACTGCAATTATTTAACACCCAATTTAAAAAGCAGTGATACTCTGTATGCACGGAAATAACCCCCCACCTCGCACAGTAGCCAAAGCCACCCAGAGCCCGTTCGTTATTGTTCTGCTTAGGTGGGGAATCGCTTCCCCACTATCTCTCTAGTAAATCATCTTAACTCCTCGCACAGTTATTTATAAATGTTCCGCCGCCCATCAGCGTGATTTCAAGATCACTTGAAGAAATTTGGGCTATTAGGCGTGCATAATCCAACTCCACGCGTCTACAGAAAGCCCCGCCAGCCTTCAGCAAGTCATTCGCTGATATTAGAGAAATCCCCATCTTTAGCGGAAGCCCATCCTCCTGCACTGGCCCCAGCCAGGAAAAAGGAAATACCCCTTGCTAGGCAGAACTCTGGGGGGGCTCCTGATGCGGGGGGGGAAAAGGACCCCGACGTGGTTTAAACGACAACCCCCTTTCCTTTCGGCCCTAAAGAGATTACCTAGGAATGCTCCTCTCCGGGGTTGGCTGGGATATATACCCCCCCCCCACCCATTAAACGTCTTCTATACATCGCCTCTTCATCTTGTCAAGGCCAGTTGGTCGATGGCTGCTGGTTTCCCAGGCAAATCACACCAATTTCTGAGCGGCTGCTGAAGGTCCCCATTGGCACAGCAGGGGTCCGACAGAAGCACTCATCCATGGAGCCGGAGGTCAGGCTCTGGCCTGCTTCTCCAGCTGAATTATTATGTGTTTTGTTTTGTTTTTAAGTCGTGTTGCTCTTTGAACATTTCCAGAGCTCTTGGCTACGGGAGTAATAACGACAGTCACATAGTGCTAAGCAAACCAACCACATTCTGCATTTCGGAGGCGCTGGGGATAATCTGTAGAGGGGTCACAACATTTAGGGGGTCCTGGAAATGAACGGCGGCCAAATGGGGCACATTGCATCCACCTTCATTATGGTTTTTAATTATTTGAGACTAATTTCTTAATCCTAGTTGGGTTTGGTGGTGGGTTTTTTTGTTTGTTTGTTTGTTTGTTTTGGTGGTTTTTTTGTTGTTGCTTTCCCTTAGGGGAAAGGGATAAAGGGATTGTTAAATGCGTTTTTCTTTAAACCAAGTTTAGGGCTGTGTGTGTGTGTGTGTGTGTGTACACATAACATTACACACACAGAGACACATATCTAATACAGGTGTGTGTATATGTATCTATATCTATATAGTGTGCAACACACAGGCCGAGCACATATAAGGTGTATAAACTGTATGTTTACACACAAATAGATATCATGGCAGATGTGTGTGTAACTTCATATACACTTTCCATCCACGTATGTATCTGTACAATGTGTGGGATATAGTGTCTAACACAAGAGGCAGACAATAGATGCTTCTGAATATATATAATAAAGGGTATAATGTTTCCACACTTGTATACATCGGTAACACCCCAAATCAGTGTTTTATTTATAACCACGACTGGTCAGAGACTTAACAGCGTGCTGATCAGTGCTGGAGAAAGTGTTTCTCATTTTTAAAATAGCATGAGTGGAGCCCCAATTTTCCCCTTTCCCACTGCCTCCCTTCCCCCCTCACCCCCACGCCTCAGCATTTTTAATTAAATTACAAGCCTCAATAATGTTTTCCTAACTACAGCTGCCCGCTGCCTTGTGGAGTAGCCCGCGGAAAGGTATAATTTTGCAAACAGTTTCTTTAAGAGCTGGGCCTGAAGTGCCATCAGCACTGTGTGTGAATAGAAAAAGAAACACCTCCACAAAAGAAGGGATTGTTAATGGAGGACAATCCAGAGGGGCCCGCGAAGGCCTGTCCTTTACACTCACGGTGGAAGGCGCTGATGTGAATGCAGGGGGCCCTACTTTCAAATCTGGACAAAAACAAAATGGTAATCAGGGTTGAATCCCCTCACTGGTCAAAGCAGTGGGCAGCAACTGGTCTCTTTCACTCCCCTCCCCCCCGTAAACCAGACCCCAAACAAGAGGAATTCGCCTCCTCTTTAACTTTATTTCCTTGATTAGCTCTCCAAAATAATAATAATAAAAGCCGGGGTGGACTTAGGGGAAGTTTTAGGGTTGCTGGAAAGGAGATTTCTCCTCTTCTGCAGGTTGTGAGGGGGACGCTGCGTGCGGCTGGCAGGTAAGCACAAACCGCTCCCCACGCTCGGACTCTTTGCTGGGAAATCTGATTTGGGATCTGGGTGGATTTCGAGTTAGCACTTGTAGTGGGTGTGGGCGCGCGGGCGTGTGTGTACACAACCATTGTGTATATCTCCTCGGAGGGTCCTGCTTCCAGATGTTGCCTCGTTTGGTAGGGCCGGTTCATGTAAACAACTGCTTGTGATTTGCTTGTGTCCAAACCGGTTGAAACGTCTCCACGCAGGGAGATTAAGAATCATAACAAGAACGGGCTGTTTCTACCCCGATCGCCATGTGTTGATTTCAGCGAAAGGTGCTTGTTAACTGGCTCTGGTAACCCGAATCAGCTTCGCCTATTCGGGGAGACCTTGGAGCTGGGTTTACCGTGTACTGGATTTGCATGGCAGGGCTGCACTCTGCTAAAGAATGCCATTTCCCACGTGTTGGTGGCTTTCCTGAAACCCCCATCCCTTTGTTAGGGTTTCTCTCCTTCCAGGGGAGAAATTTGGATTTCCCGAATGCTGCACTTTCCAAACGGGCCGTTCTGGTGGCTTTACGGCCTCTTGGAATGAAATTAGGTGTCCCTTAAGCCCGTTTTTCAGAGCGCCCCAATTTCTGCCAGAGTTCTTCGTTCTTAAGCGATTGTCTTGCTTCGGATACTGCACTTCGCGCAGTTGCAACGCTCCCCAGTGGGAGGAAAAATGTTTCATTCCCCGAAAACTCTCAACCATCCTCCTGACCCTTTAATTAAACCATGGAGAACCGGGCCCTTAACGCCTGAGTTCGGGATGCTGTATTATCCTGGTCTCCGCGCATCCCCTGCCTGAAACTGCTTCCTGCTCAGAAGGAAATTAGACCTAGGAAAGTGTTGTTTACACGGAGGTAACAAATGAACGTATGTCCATTGTACGCACACGTATGTACATTTTGCATATAGGCAACGTTACATGCTTGTCAGCATATTTCTTTGTTTCCACAAACAGAACTACACGATATAGTATGTGTGTAACACGGATACACCCACTGCAGATGACTTTGGCTGCACGTTTATACGGTGTGTAAAGACACTATTCCTATTATATTCGTGTGTATACACGCAAGTGTGTGTGCATATGTGTATCTGTTTCTGTGTACATAAACTGCTAGCTACAGTCGTTGTTTGTTGAGGAAAGGGATTCCTCTCAGAATTCTCTTTAAAATCCCTATTTCCGTATTTGACATATATTAATATTATTTCACTGTCGTGTGTAGCACATGCCTTTACTGCTCTTGTTAACTGCAGAAGCTTAGAATCAACTCCCACTACATGCATTCATTCGGTTTTGGTCAGCCTTGAATTGGAAATTGAATGTTTTATTTTAACTAAATGTGATTACTCCACTAACTCCCCTCCCCCATTTTTGCAAGTGTCAAATGAATCAGTAATGATCAGAGAGACGAGGTGGGGGAGGCAATATCTTTTATTGGACCAACTTCTGTTGGTGAGAGAGACGAGCTTATACAAAGCTCTTCTTCAGGTCTCTGTGTAAACTCGAAACCTTCGCTCTCTCACCAACAGAAGTTGGTCCAATAAAAGATATTACCCACCCCATCTTGTGTCTCTAATATCCTGGGACCAACACGGCTACAACACCACTGCATGGAATAATTATTGGCATATATGTCTAGTAGTGTGTGTTGGAAAGGCTGATATCCGGGAGGTGGCCAACTACTTAACAACAATATGAACCGTAAACCAGCGAGCAGTTCTCTTTTCATGGGAACTATATTGGATTAAAAATCCCCACAAATTAGACAACGCCAAGAGCTCCCTTCTTTACCAGGCATAATTTCCTATGCTGCTAATGTAGGAACATTTATTTTGAGACCATTCCTAAGAACGTATTTCTATCTTTTAGTGACTTGTAGAACGATTTTTATTTTACCAAAAATGTATTGTTTTAAGACATTCTCATCATGAGAAAAGTTGTTACAAGTCATTTAAGAGCCCCTCTCTTGTAGGAAGGTCCCAACCGCCAGTATAAAGAGAAACGCATACTTACTGTCTGTGCTATCCCTTTATACTTCAGTCACTAACAATGCAACTGTTGGGGGGACAAATACACTTTGCCTTTCATTGGCTGATAGAACCGTCTCCTCCTGTTCCTTTATTTCCCACGAAATTCATTTTATAGATAGGTATAAACCTCTTACAAGAGATGTCTCTTAAATATTTGCCCTTAAAATACTGGATTCTAACTTAACAAGAAGCCTATTTGATTAAAGGGAGCGTTACAACCAGTTACAGTATCATGTAAACAAACATTCAGGGTCTAGTATTCAAACACCGTCTAGAACGACGGATGCATCCATAAAATATTTGCTGCATTCTATGCAGGACCTTTATTCTGCGGCTTTAATGGAAAGAAATCAAGTGTAAATACCTGAAAATATCACTCTAGGAGACATTCTCTCCCTTTGATTTCTCTGTGACAGGCATGACAATCCACTGAAATGAATGCACCTCAGAGTTCATTATGAGAGAGGACACTACTGTATCTTTTGCTGATGCAGCGTCAGTCTCAGATCCATATTTTCTAAGAATGACTCTTAGGGAAAAACCTATATACCTTTTGGTACGCATTCAACTTCTTCTTCAGTGGGACCAGTGCTATTCCCTGTCAAATAATCAGCCCAATCTAGTTGGGATTTTACGTATAGGTCTCTGTCTTTGTGGGGTTTTTATGCTAATCTAATGCAGTAGTTTCTATAGGGAAGGGTGTGTTTGTAAACACATCCTCTGATATATAGGGCTAGTTGGCGTAATAATGTGTGATGTATGGCTCTAGAATTTTACCAGACCTGCATAGCTCAGGGAAGTTAACGGATAATCTTGATCTTACTTTCAGGCTTGACGTAAAAAAAAAGAAAATAAATCTCAATGTCTGTATCTGTTTTCATAGGAAAACGTGCTGAAACGAAAACATCCAAGTATTGATAGTTAAGACCTAGTTAAAGTGCTCTAATCTTGTCATTTTTTCAAAAGGATGAAGAAACTTGTATTTATTGGTAGTACTAACTCCCGTTACTATTACAAGCCTCAAAACGACCTGATGCTTTCAGGTAACATTTTGTTCTTGGTAGGTAACTGAAAAAAATCCGCCCTATAAAAGATTCCTTTTCCATCTTGCTGAAACAGAAATACTGCCATTTCACTCCTTCATTCGGTAATTAATCAATTAATGTTTTTGTCTCCTTGGACTAAAGTGATGGGAAATTTCATTCCTACCAACTTAATTCTTATATAGTATTGTGAATTTGCTATTTTCAACGCCCTATTTATTTGATTTGTCCATTTTTCTCCCCTTTCAAAACTAAGCTGCCCGTTGAGGTCAACTGAGCATTGCAGGGTTATGCAGCCCGCTTCCCTCGTTTGACTTACAGCAACATTTTCCAGCAACTTCTTGCCCGTTTGAAATGAACGTTTCAGGCGGCTTTACCAAATGAAGTTCAAACAGTGCTTTGTGCTGGGCTCAGGGAGGTATGTCACCAAACCAGCGAGCCGCCGCGGATGCCCTGAGAGATTAAAAATCCATAACAATAGATCGGTGTCATCCAACTTTTGTTAATGCAGTTTCCTGATGACACTTATTAGCTCTTCCGGATCCAATCCACGCTGCGAGCGACCCAAACAGCTGGGAAATGACGCCTCATTCTTCCCTTCTTTTACATTTTGTGAATAGTGGTAAAGGGAAAAGCACACAAATGCCTTTTCCTCTCCCTCACCATTACTACATCTTTCTAACTGTCCAGAGTCAACTTTTAGCATGGTCTGCAGTGATCTATGCAAGGAAGAATTTAGACCTAAATAATGCCACTTCCAAGACAGTTGTGGATTTCCCTCCCCCCTTTCCCTGTCGTTTAATCCAATAAAATGTCACGTTTCCCAAAATACAGGTCGAAAGAAGTTCAAGAACTCTAATAGCTTTGTGAAGCTGGAAGCCTGCTGCAGGGAGAGCTGGCGTTTAAACAGTCCAGCAAGTGTGTGTGTGATTTTTTTTTTTTTAATTAACCAGAACATCAACCCCAAATCGTGACCCGTTGTCCTGAAGCTGATGTCTCTCACCCAGTTGCAAAGGTGGGAGTATTTACTCCTGCGAGTAGCCCCGAAAGCAACAGAAGGGGACCATTTATAAACCCTTGCTTTACTTTGCCCATCACGCTAAAGGGAAAAAGGTTGAATGATCAGTACCTCTCCCCTGTTTTCCCCATTCTAGTCTCGATTGAAATCAACACACATGGTGTGTTGGGGTGTGGTAACTGCTAGTGCTAACGAGATTTGATTGGCCTCTTCCATCCAAGCAGCCATGGTGACCATGAATTCAGTCGCGGTGTCCACTGGCTCTTAACACAAAGTTACCATGTTTGGGACCATGTGTTAGAGTGAAGACATGACCCAGCTACTTAGTGGCGAGGAATTTAGGGCATGTGCAAAACCGATCCGTAGATTGTTATTTTTATTTTTTTATTTTACGTTAGAAACGTGCTTATAATTTTGAAACACTAACCTACCAAGCGAAGCAGTCATTGTAGCACCTAATGCAAGAACGTCTATTTGTTAATTTGCCTCGATGAATTCTAAAAACAGACCTAAGGGCGCTCCCTATTTGTATGATTTTGCAGGACTGCTGGAAGTAACCAGTTTATCCAGGCGTTAGCATTTTAAGGGTTATTGGAAGGAGTGAATGTTTGACTAAGCTTCCAGATGGAGCGCAATATTACTTCTTTTCTGTAGAGAAATCATTACGTATTTCTCTCTTCTCCCCCCCCCTCCTTTATTTCAAGCTGTTATTTCTGGTAATGTTTCGAGATTGTTTGTCTATCTCTGACCACTTCAAATGTCCTAGAGAAACAATTCGAGGTTTGGACCGTGAAGAATCTTCATCCCAGCCTATGCAGGGTGGTGATTAGGCTGAGGTGTCATAATGAGAGCCTGAAAGACTGTCAAAACCGAATCTGACG